TCTGGCCTTCTCGACGACTTCTAGAAGCTTGAAAACAAAAAAAACCCCAACAAATGTCTCTCAATTTTGCCACTTAAACAGGAGACATGTGTATTGGTACAGAACAATGCGGTAAATATCGAAACAAAAACATGCTAAATGAGGGGAAAAGTACTGTTTCTTTGAGTTTTAAGATGAATCTCTGCTCTGAAATCCTGTCTCCTCCATCTCTGAGCCCTCTCCATCCAGCTGTGTGTCTTTTCTTTAAGGAGTCCAAGGAGGACCAGCTCTCCAGGCCTCTTGAAGGACATCTCAAAGCTCTTCTCTGGATGTGGGCCCGCCTATATGGAGAGCATTTCTGATGAGGCCACCAGGAGAAGATCGGCTGGAGGTCCAGATCTCAGTTCCTGTTCAGCTCTCTGCTGGATCTGTTCCTCTTCCTGAAGGACCTCACTTTCAGATCCTCTTTATCTTCTGGATTAGAGAGTTTTTTAGGCCCAACAGTTCTTCTTTTGTCCTCCACTTTGTCCCTTTTTAGCTCACAGCTCCTTGGGATGAAACCCTGGATAAAGATGGCAGGAAGTCCAGCTCCTGGAAGCGCCGTATAAAAGATTCTTTGGGAATAGCAACAAACAAGTGAGTTGAAATTGTAAAAGCATCAGTTTCAGAGGAACTTCTATTGTTCTTTTTACTAAATAAACTTATTTTTTTGTTCATTGTCAAAGTGCTTTCTCTGGACTGAGACCAAAAATGAAGCAGAATTGGTCCTTCTGTCTAAAAGCTGGAAAGGTCCTGCATTAAATCAAAGTAACAGAGAGACATTATGCTGATTTAACAGCACAGAATATCCCAAATATCAGCCTTTAAATCCTGTCAGACGTCTGCCTGAGCTGTTTGACAGCCGCTCTAATAAATAATGCAACGGCTCTATTTCTTTATTGGGTGGAGGGATCATGAGCTGGCGGCACGGTGGTGTGGTGGTTAGCACTGTCGCCTCCCAGCAAGAGGGTTCTGGGTTCGAATCCCGGGGGAACCAGGACCCTTCTGGGTGGAGTTTGCATGTTCTCCCTGTGTCTGCGTGGGTTCTCTCCGGGTTCTCCGGCTTCCTCCCACAGTCCAAAAACCTGCATGTTAGGCTGATTGGAGATTGGGGAAATTGCCCTTAGGAGTGAATGTGAGTGTGAGTGGTTGTTTGTCCTTGTATGTCCTGTGTGTTGCCCTGCGA